TATATATATATATATATATAGTACAAAGTATAGAAATTTAATTGTCAAGGATAGAAATGGTACAAAGTATATCAGAAGTTTCACATCTCCAACTGAAGCAAAGGGGACACAAGATGTTCCAAAAGACATCAAGAAAGCCAATATAGATTTTTATTTGCTATGTTGACAACCAAATACTGATGCACAAAGGTCCATGTTACAGAGGAATTAGAGACTATGCGACACTTCCAAGCCCTAATCCATGACAGTCAAAATTATAACATCTTTTCGGTGTTTGTTAATCTAACATGCATACTATACAAAGCTATCATTGTGAATGGATTAGTAAATGAATGAAGAAAGATAATGAAATACACTTATACAGAATTTCAAACATCAGGCAGATCCAACACTGTGCCGAACGATGCCACTCTGTGATGTTCAGATATTGACCTGTGATATTTTGATGGTCCTATGTCCAAGGATTCTACCTCTGCCGTGAAGGGCGATGATCTCGAGCAATGATGCTTTCTGAAACTGGCTTGTGAAATGCGGTATAGTGTCTGGACAACATCTCTTATCGGTGGCCGATTTCTAGAAAGTTGATTGATACATTTATATGCGACAGCTGCTACATCATTAAGTTCTGTTATGTCGAACGCCCCATCAAGCCGGGGATCTGAAATTTCCTCCCATCCAAACCTTCCAGCGGCATTTGAAGCAGCCTGATAAAAAAAAAAAAAATAGTGAACATCTATATATGCAGAATAGATATGTTTTATAACTCAGAAGGTCACATGAACTACCTGTAGTACAAGGGCATGACACAGATAAAACGAGTGCCAACTAGAATTATTAGTAAATTTCCTTGCCTTGAGCATTAGATATACCATTTTTTTCCTTCTCAAATTGCATATCTAGACCTTTTTTATATGATCTAAAATTGCTCACCATTATGGAATACTTGATTTCACAAACTGCTACTCTTACTAGTACTTAAGAAGTAAGAACATCTTGTTGCCTAGTAAAGAACCCGAATAACTCTCAGGGGAGTGTAATTACTTGCAAATTTACTCATATTGAAAAATCAAGTGACAGTTTACTCATATGACAACTCTTCCTTTCTTGTGGTAAATGACAGACTTGGCTATACTTCAATGAATTACTTGGAAATTTAGCTACTCAGATCGAGTGTGCATGTAGTACAAGGCTTTATTTAAGACATAAGAATAGAGAACTCACAAGATTAACATATTCCATAAGACCCTGCTGTGGATTCCGCCCTGTGATCAACTCGAAAAGCAGAACCCCAAAGCTATAAACATCACTTTTCCTTGTGAGTGACCTCGAAGATATGTACTCAGGATCAAGATAACCAAAAGTTCCTCTGACACTGGATGTCCGGCACCCGACCATTTTTACTCTCGCTAGCCCAAAGTCAGCGACCTGATCAACAAAGCATTTTATTTATTTTGTGCTTGAATTCCACAAATTATGTAGTAAAGAAAGAGAATAGCAACAGGATGGAAACTTCCAACACAGAACTCTACTGATTGGAAAAGTATATCCAACTTCATTCTCTGATAAATTGACTAATGGCAAAGGATTGCCATGATGAAAGATGTAAGGTCTTCATGTGCAACAATCTCTCATCTTGTCATAATTTCAACTCATCGACAACTCTGTCTTATCAATCATCAAAGTTCTCTAACCAATTAATTAAAATTATTGTGTGTCACAAGCAAAACTGGTGTATGCTAAATCTAGAAAAAAGTACTGCTCAACTTAATAAATAGGAAGCACCTTAAACAGACTGGAGGAACATTAAAAAACAAATAAAAGGAACTAGTCAATCATAGAATATGATCACCACTTAGATGACTTAGTGTTGATGATTACGTAATGACATGGAAGTTTATCACTTTATCATTTCTTTTCTTTAAGAAATTTGTCATTTCTGACAAATAAAAAATCCAAGTGTAACCCTCTGCCGACAAGCGTATAAGAAACAAGCAACTAGAATATTCAAGATATGATAATGTCTCTGTCACATATAAATTCCAGGATCCTGGTAAAAGAAAAAGGTGATCTAATTCATGAGGATTCCCCAAAGGCAGGGATGTAGGAGTATTAATGTATGCAAAATTTTTAGAATCTTGATAGAAACAAAACACAACAACAAGTTTACTATATTAAACAAAAGATTAGAAAAACCCATAGAGCTTAGATCAAATCAAGGTTTTGAATCTTGATTCTACGAACTGGTATGGACTGATTATTTTATTGGATGATACTGGGCAGTCAGATGCACACACACAAGTTATTGGATGATAGAAACAAAACACAACAACAAGTTTAACTATTCATTCTTGGTTTTCTATTATTTTATTGAATGATACTGGGCAGTCAGATACACACACAGCCCCCTTCTCTTTGTTTTCTTCCCCAATCAAACATTCAAGTCCATGTGATATTCTGGCATACCCTAGCTCGCATGAAGTTGTCTAACAATATGTTTGAAGATTTGATGTCATGATGCACTACAGGTGGAAAAACCTGCAAGATTAAAAGACACAAGTTGCTTGTTAAATTTACAGAGAAAAAGATACATGAACCTGTTCATCATCTCAGCCAAAAATAATGTATGTGATCTTACACCATCATGAAGATACTCTAAGCCCCTCGCAACATCTAGAGCTATATTAACCCTCAAATCCCAACTCAATACATTATGCTTTTCACCTGCAGTTAATAAAAAATATTGATAAATATCCTACAAACGAAAAACAGAAAGCTATATGTAAAATTATAGTGTTGAATATAAGCAAAGATAGTTAATGGAGTTCATGTGTTTTGCATATTTGAAGAACTCTGTAGAAGATCACAGAACACTTTTCTGTTGAAAAGTAAGTCAAATTAGAACTGGTGCTAGCCAGACCTTCATGCAGTTATAGAAACAACATTATGTAGTCTATCATTTCTAATTTCTCGGGTTAACAAAATAAGGTTACATTGTAAAAGAAATTCTTGAACAATCGTATCAATAGTGATCGTCTGTCAGTTAAAAATTCCTATGTTAATTAAAAGATTAATGCCTGCTTATATCAGTCCACGAACGATGTAAAGCACTCTATAGTAAACCAAGAAAAGCTTGAAAGCCCTAAGGTAAAGGTGCAAACATTAATAAAAGGACATTCAGTAGACCTAACTATCAGGTTCAGCCAACCGTAAGACCTAACTATTTTTGTGTATGCCTGAGTAGCATTTCATTGTTGAATAACATAACCATCAACTTAAATCAACAAACATTTAATGCTCAAGTTTTGAAACTCTGCATCCCTTCATGATAAAGAAATATCACAGACCATACAGCTAGTTCAAAATATTCATTATCACTTCGTAAGGAGACAAAACAAAATGAAATTTTATCATACGATTATAAAATTCCAAAATTTTGAGTGTATGAATACCTTGATACAGTTAAATAAGCTTGAACATGAATAAAGTAATAGTTCCAACCAAGGATTTTAATTTCGAATGATACCGCCCGTACCGAGCGGTAGATACCGGTCCGCTAGCAGATCGGTACAGCAGACCACCCGCTACCGGGCGGTATCGTCAATTGGGGATGTTTCCTCCCCGTTACTGCTCGAAATCAGTCCGTAACGATCGATTTCGATCGTCGCCACCCGCTACCAGGCGGTATTATCTGAGGAAGAAGGAAGAAGAGGGAGAAAAAAAGGGAGAACCTGGAGATCTGACACCGCTCTCCCTCGACGATCCCGATCCGTCACCGGACGCTGCATATGAGATGTCGCCTCCTCGACGCTGTCGGCGACGAGGCCTCAGCGTCGTCGGGGACTTCTCCTCATCCGCACAGGGAGAAGAAACGAGGTGACGTCGCCTCGACAATGTCGACCTTTTTTTTTTTAACTTTATTATATTTATATATATATATATATATATATATATACCGAGCAGTACACCAAAGAGTATCACTCGATACGCTCGTACCGTATCATACCGAGTTGAGCTTGAAACGTCGATACGGTACGAAATTACGAACCTTGGTTCCAACCTTCAAGAGTTCTAAGAATGAGCAAATTAAAAATGAAAGACATAGTTTGATTAAAAAAGCATAGCATTAGATACATGAACACGACCATAATAATTCATTGCTCATCATCATACTTGAGAAAATAATATAAACAAGTAACAAGCATTGAGCAATGACCAAACATACTGTACAACTGAGACGCAAGGCTGCCATTGGTCATGTAATCATATATTAACATATGCTGGCCTTCTTCAGCACAATATCCAACCAAATTAACAATATTCCTATGGTGTAATCTCCCAAGAAGTACCACCTGAAAAGAAAGGAAAAGAGCAAAAATCTCTACCAGATTAAGTTAAAATACCACTGAAGGGTGAAGGGTGAGTGGAGATAGCATCAAAACGATGGATGTTACCTCTGTTTGAAAATCCTTCTTGCCTTGCTTAGAATTAGTAGCAAGAACTTTAACAGCAACTATCTCACCAGTGGGCATCTGAGATTTATAAACAGGACCAAATGCCCCCTGACCAATCAATGTCTCAAAATTACGAGTTGCCCTTTTCAGATCCCTGTAAATAAGAATAACAAGCTACATTATCAGGCAAAAGAGAAACATGGATCCAAGTTATACTGGGCACTCCCATATTAAAAATAACACAAGGAAATTAGAAAACAGAAGCATAAAAAAGATTGCTTTCTGGCTTATGAGTGAATTTCATTTTTGTAAAATCTTTAGGTAGAGACCACAACTGTAATTGGAATTTAATTTAAGAGGCTTTAGTAACAAACCACTATGTGGTGGTGCAATTTCTTGTGCCATATCATACTCATCATTGAAAATACTTAATGAAGTATAGAAGATGATAACATGCATATTTGTACATTAACTAAGTTAAAAATTGAGCAGATTTTTGTTTTCACCCATACTTGAAAGAGTATTTTGGAAGTTTTTTCCTCTTAGTTCCTTTCATCCATGAGGGGCCACCTTCTTTAGAATCAGAATGGCTGGGGGACTCCTGTTCCATGGTAGAGTCTGAGACTACGGAAAAAGCATCAACACCATTGGCACTTATGGGAATAGTTGATGCCCTCCTTGAGAGGCTTACCTGAGTGCGCTTCTTATGGGGCAAGATCCAGAGCTTAGCACCTGTAACTAGAAGCATGCAAATCACTACCCCCATTGTCAGCTCTAGAATCAGCTCCGCTGATAGAACACCTTTCATCTCGCCAATACACCTTCAGTTCTAGCAGCTGGACACAATCCACTTGAGGCAATATCCTGAAACAAAAGTCTTGGTTTAATCCTAATCCATTCAATTAGAAGAGCAAAACACTAGCTAATTCCTCTTTGTCTGCCCAGAATGAATGAACAATGTTTTAAGACAATATGGCCAAGAAGCACTAGTAATTAAGACAAGCACTTCTTGGGGGAAAAACCACATGTTTGCACATCAATGTGGCCACAGAGATATCTAGATCGAATCACAAGCACTCCATGGTCAACATCACGTAATTTAAGACAAGAAGCACCAGTTATTAAGGTCAAGTGGATGATCAGAAAAATAACCACAGTTGTAGCGTCATCTCAAGTCAAAGTTATTTCTATCAGCATTCGATATGCAATAGAGGGGGAAAAACTCCTGCTTTTTTTATCTCCAGTCAACATTGACATAGATTAAAAAAAAGAAGAAAGGTTTGCACTTTTGACGAAAGAGCAAGGATGGTGTAATTTCAATTCATACCCAAAGAACAAACCTTTCCCCCCTTGCATGAAGAACACAAATTATGTGTAAATCAAACTGAAACAAAATTGGCCTATAAAACTGAGATTGCAAGCACAAAAGCATGACAAGAATAATCAGACAAGGTGTCACATCATGCCCTTTTTGTTTTTCACAATGCAAAACTTGATCAACTTTCCACATACATCATTCCAAAGAAGTATAAAAGTAAACTAATCTATTCAAACAGAAATTTCAATTTTTTTTTTCAAAATAAACAGCTCTCTGAAAGTAGCAAAACAAGCTCTATTAGCTTGCGCTAAAAGTCATAAAATGCTAAGACTCATTGCAATGTTACCTAGCTGTAAGTGAACTTCTCTATGCAGGAATCAGAGATAATGTTGTTACAAGGTTAAACCGAAAAATAAAAACACAATATATCAACAAACACGTTGGAAAGGAACCTCATAAACATCCTCTCTAGACATATGAGAAATATCAAAATAAATTGAATCATAAAGCAAATGTCAATCAAATCATGTTGCATATCAATATCATGATCATCACCAGTCACGTCTCATATGGTGGCATAGGTTGGACACTTGATAGTGCACTCTCAGTCTCTCAATAGAGAATAAAGAGTTCTTACTTTATACAGAGTGGATTGAGAGAACCCATAACACACTCCTAATAATGGATGGAGCAATGCCTCTCACCCACTAAAGTGGAGGCACATTCTTGTCAACAGTGGATGAAACAATCATCTAGCTGCCACTTCCAGCATCCCGCTAAACTCCGAAGGGAATCATCCTATTAGTAATTTATTAGGGAAACATAGTCCTCATGTATCATCTCATGGCGTGCATTAGTCTAATTTCAAATTCAAATTCTAGTAATTCAATTGAAATCCACAACAAATGCATCATATATATCTTTTGAATTCATTAAACATCGAAATCATGAAGTGTCAATCCCAGTAAAACCCTTAATTGACTTGAAGTCTAGATGAATTGGTCCAATTGACTTGAATAGTTTTCGCTAGAACCCACTTGAATCAACTTTAAATTCACATAAAGCTGACTTGGATCACCCTAAACCGCAATAATTGAATATGAATTGGTTCAGTTTAGGCTAAACAAGCTTGAACCAATCAGAATCGACTCAGACAGAATCAACCTGGACCAGCTTGAACCGACAAACCGATCCGATTCAACCAATGTGCAATGCCAACGACCGAGCCACAAGGGGCCATGGATCAAGCCTCTCTGCAAAGAGGCTTTCTACTAGGCTCAAACCAGGATGCAAATCACATAGGTGATGGGTGATGCTGTGCTGAGCCATAGACCACATTGAGACAACCCGTCGAGCCATGCCAATTGCCGCCACTATAAGCGTTGTCAAAGAACCTAGATGCTAAAAGGTGCCAAGGTTCCAAAACAATCATTAGGGTTAAAAGCAATTATTAAAATAAAATGTGAGGTCTTATTAACAATTCATAATATGTTATTAACAGGAGTTAAATATTATCAATAAGACCCAACTATTATTTACAAGAATTAATGGCAAGATCAAAATCAAGAGCGAGGTATACCGGCAAAGTGCAAAGGAGACAAGAGGAGAGGTGCAGTGGCAGAGAAGAGTAATAGAATCCGATTGACTCCAAAGGCAGTGTAGTCCAAAGGTAGAGAGGAGCAAAGGAAGATGCTATCACAACATTGGGGAAGGGTGCTATCACAAATGTTGGGTGTCAAAGAAAAGGCTGTCAGGTGAGTGTGACAGGGATCAATGGGGGAGGGCCGCAGGTTGGAGAGATTTTAATATTTTATCAATTGATTGAGCCAAACCATATGGCTCAGTCAGATTAGATCAAATTGAGAGGGTGAGGGGGTTTTAATCTCTAAACAATTGACTAAGCCAAACCAGATGACTCAATTAAATTAGATCAAACTAAGGGGATTTGATTTAATGTGTTTGGGCTGACCAAGCGAGTGCCTAGAGCGCCCAACGCCTAAACCTAAGCACACACTTAAGCGCCCAAGCACAGCTCCTCACTTGGATTGTCATGAGGTGCTTGAAACTTGCCTTGCTTGACCGCCTAGGTGAGCCCTGTTAATTTCACTATGCAAGGGTTGCCGGGCCGTAGGGTGTGGCCCATTCCATCAACGATTGGTTCGACCGACTAGATGGGCTGATTTGATCCGATCGATGGGTCTAGGCTTAGGTCAAATTCGATCATGGTTAGACCCAAATGCCAATTTCAATTCTATCTTTCTTTGAATAGAAAAATTAAAACCAATTGATTTAAAAATTTAGTAGATAATACAAGTTTTAATATAAAAATCATGTTATCAATAATTAGATTCTTATCTACTAATTTATTTAAACATAGAATAAAATTCAAATTTTATAATATCATAATTCTGAAATTTAAAGAATGAATATCTAAAAAATAGCATGAACAACATAGATGAAATATTAAAAATATGCATAAATAACAAAAAATTAATCGCAAAGATCATTGGATTTTAATATTGGAATTTTTAATCAATATCATACTTTTAATCTTTAAAATCATAACAAGCAACATTATTTATTAAAATCCTGAAAATGTAAATAATTGACAAATGATAGTTGAAGAAGCTACCCCTTAAATCTTCCTCCCTCACGATCCCCCTTGTTGACCGTCAACAATTGCATTATCTACCCGTTATTAAATAGGAGAAGAGGGAGAGTTTCCCACTAAGGAAAGCAATAATTGATATTTAGATTTAATAATTAATTTATTTTATGTTATTTTATTACCAATTTACCCATATGAATTAGGAATTAGATTTCAACTTGAAAAAAAAACAAAATAACATATCCAAGTAGAACTCTAATCATATAATTTTATATTTCAAAAGAAAAAAGATTTAAAATTCTCGATGATTACACAAGGGATCATAACATGAAACGGAATAAAAAAATATGTTATATTTTTGAGGGAAAATAGCTCTCTTCAGCAGAGCCACATTTCACCCCTCTCTGAGTCCTGGCTTCAACTCAATTTTCCACAAGAAGTCAATGACCACCATCACAACTACTCCGTGCAAAACACTACTCCTTATTGACCCCCATGCAGAACATTCAATCTAAAACCTTTACATGTCATGCTCTCTAGCATTGCTACATCTGTTTCCTTTGACTACCAAGGCACCATGTAGACGCTATACATTAATTATTCTTCTCTGGGTTTCCTCATACATACATGATGTTTCTTTCCTCACATAAAGTATTTCCACATTTGGGTTTCCTGACCACCAAGGAGACTAGCAAAAATATGCACTAACCCCAATAATATTTCCCTTGGTACGTATTTATGTCGACCATGAACATTCTATAAAATTCATGCACTGTATCAAGCTCATTACATGAAGTTCTTTCCAATTGCGTCTGCATTGGGTTGTCATGAATGTATCTGGATTTCTACTTTGCACATTGCTAAATCATCATATTACTTATCTTAATGACTATTAAGTTTTATACAACTTGTAACTTAGACATCCACATCAACATCCTACAGACTCATACGCAAACGATGGAGCCGCACTCCTATCTGATTCCCCATAGAAGACCGACCATGGAAGATCATGTTGCACAACTGAAATCATGCAGCATTTTGCACAACTGATTCCCATGTCTAGAGACCTTTTCTGTTTGTAGGTTGCCAAGGGTTGGGGGGTTGCCATATTTAGCAGTAAGAGTTTTGGCATGCATATGTAAGAATTATATAGGCCCAATGCTTTTCCACACAGTGGAGAGGTCTCTTATGCCTAAACCACCCCGATCCTTAGGAGAAGTAATGGTATCCCAGTTGAGCAGTTTTTTCTTCTTGTTGCAGGTAAGTTTCCCGAAAGAATCTAAGTTTTTCGTTACCCCTGATGGCAATGAGGACATCATCTTCAAACATTAGATGTGAGATTTTAGTGCGAAGGGAGTAATTTTCTAGCTAGAAACATAGGAGATCAACAAGCATGAGAAAGTTTATTGGACAACGACAAATATATAGGGGAGATAGGATCTCCTTCCCTAATTCCTCTAAAACTGTGGAAAGGTCTAGAAGTGTTACCATTAATGATGCAAGAGAGATCATGAATGGTCAAGCAAGAATGGGCAAGCTCATTGAACACTGAGGGATTTCCTGCTCTTGAAATTGAACATTGAGTGGGAAAGCTCGTTGGCAATGGTGAGTATGAACTTGCAAGTGAATAAATACATTGAAATTATTATGTTATCATTATCTATATGTTTCAATATATAGGCTAAAAAATTTTCTCGAAGTCTTCCTTTTTCATTTTAAAAAGGATCTCTCACACTTTATTTAAAAACAAACACAAGCAATTGCATCCTAATTTTTTGAAGTGAAATCTGATTTTGCATCAAGATTTAGTTTATATGCATGCACTATAGTTTGTATGACATCTTTGTATGTCAAACTAAATGGTGTGTATTCGTAACTATCAAATTCTTTGATCAAAGGTGTCCAACGACAATGTTATGTTATGTAGCAAATTCACGC